CGAGCGATAAGGATGGGTAGCTTGGGGTCATTGGAAGAAATTCTACGTGTTCACGGACCAGGCTTTAGCCGTCGTGCCAATTAGCGAGGATAGCTACATCGTCACCTGCTGAGCTGTATGAGCCTTTTTTTACTGACCTGTTCCGGGAAGTTGGTATCGTGTAGATCCTGGTCCTTCTCAGCATAAACTAGCACGGTCTTGAGCGCGCGGCGCAGTGCGTCCTCGCTAAAGGTGGCCGACGTGCCAACTAGAGACGATAGCGACATCGTCACCTGCATCTTCACGCGACTGAAGTTCTGCGCAAATAAGCCAGTTAGAAGAAAAGGTGGCATGAAATAGGACACGGAACAATGATTGTTGAACTTTGAACATACATTTCTGATGTGGAATTATGCAATTGTTTGTTCATTTAATGATCGGTTTTTATTTAGAAAACAAACTGTATTTCCCGTTTTTCTTATTTCATGATGCTGAGTGAAGTTATGACGAGAAATTTTTCAATGGACATAAACATGAGTGAATCATGGTAGATGACTTCAGTATAGCGAAGAAGTGTTTTTAATAGGTTACGTAAACAATAATAAAATGGGTCATAGTTCAACTCAGAAATCATTGTTTGTTTATGAAGTAATCGCATTTAATTCTGCTATACTTTAGCTCAGGGATGTTATGGATATCCGTAACCGTAACTATCGGATATCCGAAATAAAAAAATATCCGTAACTGTATCCGATTCAAAAGTTTCGGATAACGGCGGAGTCTAAATCTTAATATTTTGAATATTTGTTACTTGTCTGGAATTCCCTGGCACCATCTGTTGGTCTAGACAAAGTGCAAATTATAATCGCAAACCAGTCGAAAAGTGGTCGAAAAGCCCCTTTTTTGTATGGAGTTTTGACGGATTCGATTTTCGATTCGATCAAAAAGTGCGTTTTGTCTAGGGGGGCTGATATCTCCACCTGTTTTACCTATCATAGGTGCCGTCACAGTATTTACATAAAGTGGCTATGTGGGTCGCGCTCGCGCAGCATATAGCTACTTGAATTTTACATTTTTTAAATTCTAATATCCGTACCCGAATTTATCTGAAACTTTCGGATAATCCGAAATGATTTCATATCCGTAACCGTAACCGAAACCGGTATAATATTATTCTAATATCCATAACTGTATCCATAACTGAAACTTCGTATCCATAACATCCCTGCTTTAGCTGTGTGATTTTTCTTTTTTTTTTAGTTATGCTTACGTTCCCAAGTTGATAATGTTGTCGCATGAGTGCGTAGAGAGTGGCACTAGCGTGTGCACGTGTTTGTGGCGCTAGCGCAGCGCAATGACGTAACAGAACTCGGCAGATACCCGATTCTTCGCCGCAGCAGGACCAGCCCAGCTAAAAAGGAAAGGTAACATAAAAAAATCATTTGAGTTTTAAGGGGCCTCGCGCAAACGTAGATACTTTTTGCCATCGACACAGCACACCATCAAAGAAAACCGCAAATCGACTTGTACGTTGTCAAATGGCAGTAACACAACATAAAATGTGTCTATGTCTGCGCAGGAGTTCATGTTGATTATCTATAATATAAAAATGAATAGCAAAATGTGTTGGTAAGCGCATAACTCAACAACGCCTGGACCAATTTTACCAAAATTTTTTAATGTTCGTTGAAGTCCAAGGATGGTCTTTACGGCGAGAAAAATCGAATAATTTCCGGGAAAACTCAAAAAAAATCTCAAAAATTCACCCCAAAGGGGGTAAAACGGGGTTCACGCGTACAAAGACGCGGACGGCCGCAAGTATAAAAATAAAATATTCACCAGTGGCTTGATCCACAAGACTCAAAAGTGTCGGGTTTCCTACGTGACATCGAAACTTACTATATTGCATGTCATGATAGCGAATGTTGTCAAGTGTCTACTTTTGCGCAAGTCTAAACAGTCGACAATTACTATAAGTACTATTTCACCTTAACGATGAGAGTGCGCAGTGAGGCAAACATGTGTTGTAGCACGGTGGTGCTCTGGTTGCGTTGAAGTGCCCGCAGCACCACTTGTAAGGCAGCGCTGCAGATACTCTGGCCGTGCTCTAAGTTGCTGCATGACTGGAACACAGTAGTTCAAGTTGTAAATATTAATTAATAATAAAGAACAACAACAGCCCGGATAAGAGTGTTTGGCAAACAGAAGGCGTTTCCGGAGCATATCAGCATTTTAGCGTCGAGCTTTAACGGAGACTTGTATTGCAACTTATAAGACGCAAACTTCTAAAGTATGCATTGCTAAACCACTCTTGCAGCAGGCTGCTCATTGTGCGGTAGCCTGGTGATGCAGTGTGCAGTGTACACACTTGTGCAGCGACGCAGTACGTGTAGCCACGTGCTGGTCGCGTGTACCTGTACGATGGTCTGGTCTGGATGGTCACGCGGGCGGCGGCGCACAGTGATCAATAATCAGAATTTAGGATGACAAAAATATTTTAATCTGAAATTACAATTATCTAATAATGTTATTGAAAATATCATTAAGTAAATAAATATTTCTTTATTAAAATAATTATTTGAGACTACAATCTTAAAAAACCGGCCAAGTGCGACTCGGACTCGCGCACCGAGGGTTCCGTACAAACCTGTAGGTATATAACTTTGATTTTGTTACAGCTTAAAGGTACTATGGACCTGATTATTTAATATGAATTTCAATTAAATACCTCTACGCGTTCATGAGGAAAGTAGTAGACTTTAAAATTCTCATTTTATCACTTTGGAAGAATCTCTCGCGCAAACTATTCAGTTTAGAAAAAAATGATATTAGAAACCTCAATATCATTTTTGAAGACCTATCCAGAGATACCCCACACGTATGGGTTTGATGAAAAAAAATATTTTTGAGTTTCAGTTCTAAGTATGGGGACCCCCCATGATGCCCTTAGTTCAATAAAAGAATCAATTAAAGCCATAATACAGACTTCCAGCTATCTACCAGTACCAAAATTTCCATGTTCTAATATGTTCCTTGTAAGATACAGGCTTTAAAATAAAATAAAATACCTAAAATTTTAAGCTAAGTTTTGAATATTTTTTCCAAATTACTATAACAATTAACAGTTACTAAGTGTTATAGAAAATGAAGTATATACCTTTATTAATGTGCACCATATTTCATAATACGCAATAATGCACTGTATAAGTCACACCAAACGGATAACTGTGCGCGAAAACAGGAAGTAAATAGAACAAATCAGTACAAATTAGCGAGAGCACTGCATTTACAAGCTGGTATCTCAGTAATGACTTACCTTTAAACGTTCATATTCAACAAGAATATGAGGTAAGTACCCCCAATCACATCGCGATGATTTGTTTTAACTACCCACACAATGTCAAATGGCAATGCCAGATTTTATATGGAAGGTGGCGTCTTTTTTTTTTCGTGCGGCCATCGACCAAACTTTGTTTTTTGATTACAAAATAGTGTAATAAACCAAACTTACTATGACATGTATACCTCTAAACTCAGTCTGAACTGAGTTACGGGCATTAGAAGTTTGATGATTTTCGTACTAGATTTGCTTTTTGCGCGCAAGTTTTGTAAGAAATTGATATAGATAATATCTCATTATCTTTAATATCTCAATATTGAGCGCGGCGGGCGACAGCGGCTGCTGTGCGCAGTACCATCCTTGCGGCGGCTGCTGTGCGTAGTACCAGGCCTGTTCCTCTCCACGAGTTTACATCGAAAATAAAACACGCACGATGGCCCGCGTCAGTGATCGGCACTGCGCCGAAGCTATAGGGCTGACTTCGGTAAAATGATGTGACGTGAGGTGCCAAACTGCGGAAAATGGCGGAGGAAATACATGATTTAGCATGAATTATCATGAATATTAACTACTTATTTAGCTCTCAGTGTCTTGAGGCAACTTAAAAAAAGTACATTCTGTGTTTTATTATTATTTAGGCAGTTAAATACTGCACAGTATTTAGTAGGTACACCATTTCCTTTATTTTTTCCATTACACACAAGAATACGCGTGCGTGAGTCAATGCTCGCTCGTATGTGAGGTCTTGTCGAATAGTATCCTGCAGGTGGGCCATCGTGCGTGTTTTGTTTTCGATGTAAGGGGGCGTCCATAAATTACGTGAGACAATTTTGGCTATTTTTCAACCCCCCCGCCCCCCTTGGTGAGATTTGGTGAGATTTTGCCTGACCCCCTCCCCCACCCCCTAATCTCACGTGATATTTAAAAAAATCCGAAATTTAATAGTTATGGAGTAATTTAACTGAGAAAGTTTTTTTGTGTGCTTATTTTTTTCTTTTTACAGAAGTACCTAGTCTAATTATTAATTATTCTTCCATTCTACATAATCTAGCAAAATCAATTTTGATAAAAAAAAACTTGTTTTATAATTTTCTTAATTTCGTCATTTATTCTGCATTTTAGTATTCACACATGCAGACGGAAGCATTTTTAGTTTTATTTGTTTAGACGGTATAGAATAAAATGTCATTATCATCATAGAAAATATAATTTTTAGGGTCCCGTAGTCCTGACAAGGAACCCTTATAGTTTCGATATGTCTGTCTGTCTGTCCGAGGTTTTCCTTGGAAACTATTGGCACTAGAGAGCTGTAATTTTGTGGAGGTATGTATATTAATCACGCCGACAAAACGGTAAAATAAAATTTTGAAAAAACATTTTTTTAGGGTAGCTCCCCTACATGTAAAGTGGGGATGTTTTTTTTTTCATCTTCTACACCATCGTGTAGGATATCGTTGGATGACTTGGGGGTTTCAAAGACTATTTTTCCATGTAGGGATCCGTTTGCAAACTATTAAAGTTCAAAGTGCCAATTTTTGTTCAAGCAGGGCGTCCCCCCCTCTAAAAACTAGACTGTTGGCTTGAAAAATCTGTTCATAAATTCATAATTCGGTTGGTGGTAGGGCTTGTTCTAAGTCCGCCTGGCTAGCTACCACCATCTTACCTAAGTCTGTCGCCATAACAACAATGTTAACAGCATTATTGTGTTCCGACAGTTAGAGGTAAGATAGCCAGTTCCTCCGTGGTTGAGGATTCCGGGTGAAGCTCGCTTCCACCTTCGGCCTGATCGTCACTTACCATCAGGTGAGATACAGGCCAAGAGCTTCCTCGTTGTGGATAAAAAATAATAATACCTACTGCTTTTTATGAACTTTCAAGAAAACTATAACGGTTAGGGTAGGTCAGTTAGTTTAAGAGTAATAGTCATTTAACTCATGTATTATAAAATTTCATATCTAATAAAAATCCTTAGAAGAAAATATTAAAAGCTACTTTAGATGAAGTAATTGATTGCTTGCTTCTGAAATATATTTTGTTAACGACGGACAACTACGGAACCCTACACTGCACGTGGCATGACACGCACTTGGCCAATTTTTTCACTTAAGATTTAAACCCAGTTTTCTGGCAATCTCTATTTCTCTATTTCTTGCGGAAAAAATTACGTGATATTTTCTGAGACCCCCCCTCTCCCCCACGTGAGATTTAGTGAGGTTTTTGTTGACCCCCTCCCCCCCCTAAAAGTCTCACGTAATTTATGGACGCCCCCTAAACTCGCGGAGATGAACAGGCCTGGTATAGTCTGGTCCGTGCTATCGCGCTCGCAAACTCATTGCGGGCGCCCGTTGCACAGTCGCGACAGCAATATAATTACGCGCGAGCGATAAGGATGGGTAGCTTGGGGTCATTGGACAAAATTCTACGTGCTCACGGACCGGGCTTTAGTACCTGCACGATGGTCTCGAGCGCGTGTAGCAGGGTGAGCGCGACTTCTGCGGCGAGCGCGGCGGCGTGCGCGGGCGGCGGCGCGGCGGGCGACAGCGGCTGCGAGCGCGCGCCGCCGCGGAACCATTCTTTACGCCAGCGCTCGCGCTTGCAGCCGCTTGCTGACGAGTTGCCTGCTGGCCAGTCGTGGGATTAACAGGGGATACAGATAGTCACACTAAGAGTAGGCGCACACCGTTGATTTTTCGTCGGCCGATAGTTTAGTCGGGCAGTTGATAAGTATGGTCATGTATGGGAGTGCGCACACTACGCCGATTCGATTTGGCCGATTCTTCATACAATTTAAAATCCGGCACAACTATCGGCCAACTAAAAATCAACGGTGTGCGCCTACTCTTAAGTCGCTGACATCGCTCAAAAATCAAAGTAATAAAGAATTCTTTGGCGACACTACTTAGCACTCTCCCGGTAAAAAGTTGAAGTATATGTTTACTGCTTAATATTCTGCTATTTCGGTATGGCTTTAGTAGGTATTTTCTGTATTGTTTTAACTTTTTTCATATATTGTAGTTATACTGCATGCTAAATAATTTGTTTTAGATTGTATCTTGATATGCTATTTGTGAAAACTGTGTAAGGCATTTTTGATCTTAATCGCCTCATCTATTAATAATACATATTTATGCTGTTTGTTTTTCATAAAATAAATAAATAATGTTTGTAATAAAAAATAATTTTACAAATTGTAAGTACACCACATTAGTTAAGTTCAAAAGGTTGCCAATAGATGGCGCTGTACGTCTTTAGATCGCGCAAACGTTGTGTTTTTTCCAAACTAATTATACCTTTCTTGCAAACATTAAATCGCCTCCGTTCTGAGATTTGAGATTTATTTGAATTTCAACTCGAGGATTTTGGGATCCTGTACCGATATCGTACACACATTGTGGACAGTAATGTCCACAGGCGTTCAGGTAGTAAAGGATGATATGACAGAACCCCTATAAACGTCATAGTTTTTACTCATTTTACATTGCCACTACTCACATAGGCGATGTATGTGAATAAGTAGTGTCGTATTGGGAAGTAATTCTTAACCTGTACTTTCCACCAAAGTGTTAACAGGGGATACAGTAGTACGAGATCGAATCAGAAATGAGAAACGTAAACGAACTAAAGTCGCTGACATAGCCCGACGGATTAGCAAGTTGAACTGGCAATGGGCAAGGCACATAGTACGTAGAACTGACGGCCGATGGGGCAGCAAGGTTCTGGAATGGAGGCCGCGTACCGGAAAACGCAGCGTGGGACGTCCACCCACAAGGTGGACCGACGACATCGTAAAGGTAGCAGGAAGGCGCTGGACGCAGGAAGGCGCTGGACGCAGGCCGCTACCAATCGATCAACGTGGAAAGCATTGGGGGAGGCCTATGTTCAGCAGTGGACATCCTATGGCTGAGATGATGATGATGACAGATAGTCACAGCGGGGTCAACAGTGGACGATCCACCACGCTCCAAATTCAATCGTACGAGGCACTAAAGGTAGCCTTTCGAAGCGAGCGTCTATAGCGTCAGTGGCGCCGCAACTGTGACGCCGCGACAAATAGGTGTTCTATGAAAATATATGAAATTCTAGGGAACGTCATTCGAACGCAGCGACACTGACGCGGCGTTAGTGACGCGGCGTTGTAGGCACTAAAGACCAAAGCTAAAGACGCTGCGTCTGTGACGCTTAGTTCGAAAGACTACCTTTAGACGCACGTTCCAGTGTAGGTCGGTGCGCAGTGAGTCATTCGGTATGTAAAATACTATAGTCTGGTCTGCGAGCACGTAGAATTTTGTCCAATGACTCCAAGCTACCCATCCTTATCGCTCGCGTGTAATTATATTGCTGTCACGACTGTGCGACGGGCGCCGGCAGTGAGTGTGCGAGCGCCCGTCCGTTGGATAAAACTCTACGTGCTCACAGACCGGGCTTTACATACTTTTTATGAGCTGTCAAAAAGTCACCAATACGTGAATTCAGTGGACCAACTATTTGATGAAAAATATTAGCGTGATTTGACAAACCTTTGCGTCGCATAATAAAGTCGGAACGGGCTGACCCTTGGCCCAGGATGACGTCCTCAAGCTTCGCCTTGATGTCAGTTGTCTTGCGGATGTTCTGTTGCGCGCACTTCATTATCTCTTTGCAGCCCTGTGGCAGAAAAATATACATAAGACGCAAATGTATGACTATTGTTAACATTTGCCAACAAGTTCTGTATAATATGTCCTTTCCCTCAAAGTATAAAGTCAGGACCAAACACAAGACATATCAGTTGTGGAATGTCTCACTGTGACAATGTGTTGTGCGTGCTCCTGGAAGTACAAAGTGTTAGGTCTCACAAAAGACACACTAGCAACCGGCTGTCTTGCTGCTGTGGGTCACTTCCCTTGTCCCACACGAGACATAGCCACGGCTGTCTCCTTGTCACACGCACCTTGTACTCCTGGCACTTGAAGCACAGGTCGATGAGCGTTAGCAGGCGGTGCAGCGAGGCTGGTGGTAGCTCGCTGGCGCAAGCACTGAGCGCGGCGCGGTCGCTCCACTTGTCTCAAAGAGACACAGCCGCGGCTGTCTCCTTGTCACACGCACCTTGTACTCCTGGCACTTGAAGCACAGGTCGATGAGCGTTAGCAGGCGGTGCAGCGAGGCTGGTGGTAGCTCGCTGGTGCAAGCACTGAGCGCGGCGCGGTCGCTCCACTTCAGGACCCACACGAGACACATAAGTAAGTTGCGGGATGTCTCGCTGTTGAACGGGGGTTTCGCTGTCTGCGGAATAGAAAACAAGGTAACAAGGAGATCAAGATATTGCAATAAAATCAGAAGAGTTTAAATGAGTCTAAATGTTTGGTGGAAGGTGAACTGACCTGTTTAAAGTCCCCATCGGGCGACGTCGTATTGTAGAAGTTGCCAAACTGACCGATGTCACTGTCCAGTTGGAGTATTTCTGCAAAAAAGTTAACTATGTCAGAACTGTCGCAATTTCGATATAGCATTTCGATGAAGCCTGTAAGGCATGGTTTTTAGCAAGGCGGAAAGGAAAACCAATCAGATTTCGTTATTTCCATATCTCTCCGTTCGGAGCAAGCGAGAGCGCGAGAGATGTGTAGGGCGGTGTGGGATATGATGTTCATCCACAATAAGGAAGCTAAGGTGTTAATGCTTCCTTCCGAGCGGGTGTTGTGCTCGGGGACCAAGGTCCAATTTACACCATCTTGGTTTTCGTATGCTGGGCAGGGCAGAAAACTCCGACACCGCGTTGCAGGATTGTACGCGCGGTGGAGTGTGCCATGGTGCAGTCGTAACAGCGCCATCTGTTGGTACACGTTTTTAGTGGCGTATCGTAGATGTCGCCACAGCGGTATCATTTTTGTATAGAATTGAGCTGCGAGCGAGCCAGCAACGGTGGCGCGTAGCGTGCTAAATATTATTGGCAGGTAGTTGCTAATTGCTCATAAGATAGGCCCCCTTAATTGATATTTATTGTCCGTGGTGCATAATCTTTTCTTAAAGGTGCGCCTTTGTTTGTCACCTGTCATTCGCTTTGCAATGGAGGGAAGTCGAACCTTAATTTCGAACTCCTCCTATGTTCTTCTAATTAATTTCGTTGCGGGTCCAAAGACAGTTTAACTTTCCCCCGGGACAAACTTAACCTTTATTGGTTGGGTTTTTATGGCGGTTAAGCTGTAGATCCTGGCTACGTCCGTTCGCCACGCGCGCCTTGAGTTCGGGCGGCAGGCCGGGGGTCGCTGGGGCCCACCTTTGTTGTTGTCCAGGCCGCGGGGCAGCTGCGGCAGCGCGTCCAGGGCCACCTGCACGAGCGGCAGGTACAGGGCTGCCACGCGCGCCTCGAGCTCGGGCGGCAGGCCGGGGGTCGCTGGGGCCCACCTTTGTTGTTGTCCAGGCCGCGGGGCAGCTGCGGCAGCGCGTCCAGGGCCACCTGCACGAGCGGCAGGTACAGGGCTGCCACGCGCGCCTCGAGCTCGGGCGGCAGGCCGGGGGTCGCTGGGGCCCACCTTTGTTGTTGTCCAGGCCGCGGGGCAGCTGCGGCAGCGCGTCGAGGGCCACCTGCACGAGCGGCAGGTACAGGGCTGCCACGCGCGCTTTGAGCTCGGGCGCACGCAGGCGTGGATCGGCGTCGTGCGCCGCTAGCAGAGACACTACTGCGCCTACTGCGCTGCCTTGCAGCATCGGGCTCCTGTAACACGATGTCAACATGAGCTGATGCTCCATTGCAAGAGCACGATCCTCTCTAATTTCTAAACGTCAAGGTCCAATGGTTTTGTCGCTGGACCATAGTCCAGACCCATCGTAATCAGAGCCGCGTGCGCTGCTTTGACTAATTTACAACACTGAACCGCGTGCGCGTGATTTTTGAGGCCTTAAGGGTAAAGAAGTCTCGCAGTGTAAAGTTGAAGGCCTCTTGTACAGGTCCGTCTAATGACGGCCTAGGTAAAATGGTAGAGGTCGCAAATGTACGATCAAACTCATTGGCCGCTCGCCTGGCTGGCGAGAAACTTCTTTTTCTTTTTCGTGTTTTTTTATTGATAGTCACTTTTTTCTCTTCTCTTGACTTTTCTACTTCGAACTAAACATGTAACTTGATTTTATTTTTACAATATAAATTTACTAGCTTTCCGCCCGCGGCTTCGCCCGCGTGGAATTTTGTCTGTCACAGAAAAACTTTATCGCGCGCGTCCCTGTTTCAAAAACCGGGATAAAAACTATCCTATGTTCTTTCCCGGGACTCAAACTATCTCTATGCCAAATTTCATCAAAATCGGTTGCGAGGTTTAAGCGGGAAAGCGTAACAGACAAACAGACAGACAGAGTTACTTTCGCATTTATAATATTGGTTGGGATTTTACACTACAAGGCCTTTCAATGAATAATCTCTCGTAGTGTCGGTGACGTTCACAATCATTTTCTAACATTTGCATGATATTCAATTAATAATGATACTACTTTTTAATATTAAAAACATAACCGTATTTTTTGTAATATTTGCACATCGTATGTACGATAGAATATGTTGGAAACTTCTCTTTTTATAACCATTTGTAACCGTATTCTGGCAAATAAATGATTTATTATTATGTTGGTACGCTTTGGAGCTCACGGGTCAAAAGTATTACGTATTTCGTTCAGCCTCTAACGAATCCATGCGAGCGAGAAAAAGTCCTCGCCGGGCAGTGTAAGCGGTCACCGTTGTTTATTGCTGGACAAAGGTTTTCCCAACGAACGGTCATTGTGAGGTGTGGGAGGTCCTAGATACGGGCAGCGCGCAACTGCCCGTATCTAGGACCTCTCACACGACCTTCACTAGATGATCAGTCTTTGATTAACTATGAATGCACTCACTGCAGCTCCAGCGCGGCGGCCAGCTCGGCCAGCAGCAGGCCGGCGAGGTAGTGCCGCGAGCGGAACTCGTGCGTGAGCTGGGCAGGCGAGTGCGAGGAGGCGGCGCCTGGTGGGACACACTGCGGCGCCTGGTGGGACACGCGGCGCCTGGTGGGACACTCACTGCAGCTCCAGCGCGGCGGCCAGCTCGGCCAGCAGCAGGCCGGCGAGGTAGTGCCGCGAGCGGAACTCGTGCGTGAGCTGGGCAGGCGAGTGCGAGGAGGCGGCGCCTGGTGGGACACACTGCGGCGCCTGGTGGGACACCCTTATTTTTCGACTTTTGAATTCTCCCCGGGGCACTTTCTCATTCGATTATATACCTCTAAATATGAAATTAGCTTTTTTTGTTTTTTTTTTTGGTTAAGATTTAGAGGTCGCTACCAGCTGTAAAAATATTTACAAAAAGCTTTGAAGATCTTAAATCATGGTTTCATAAATGTTTTATTTAAGTGTTTATATCACATTTTAGGTGCAAATGAACATCGCATAGATAGAATAGACAATCGCTTCTTGTCCCCTTCTCCCCTCAACCCCTCTTCTGTACCGACCATGGTACCGCGACGCGTCGAGATACTAACAAGTAAACTCTTATATCTTAAAAATAATTGATTCAAATAATGTACAGTCACGGAATGAAAAGGTTTGTCAGTTTTCAAATTGATTCCTTCAACGAATCGCGAGCACATATTACCTTTTGAAACTATGTTACAGAATAATCTCGAGTTAGAGAAAATAATCTTTGACTGTTCGTCAGTACAGTTCAAAATTATTCAGATCAAAGTTTTTTGAGGATTATCTTGTCAAGAAGATTATTATGATTGATAAACTAAAACCTTCTTGTTGGTTCAACCTGCCATTATTATTTCTATTAAATAAAAAAAAACTATTGTCAATTGGTCAATGTCATCATTGTATTGCACTGATGGGATAGAAAAATAAACAAGCAAAACCTTATTCGTTAGCAAACGTCATATTTATATAAATGTTAGCAGCATTGTTTCTGGCACTGTTATGTTGGCAGGTTTGACTCTTACAGTACCTAGTGCAAGCGAAAACCGACACTAAGGTGACGAACCTTTTCATTCCGCGACTGTACATTGTACATAATATCTTAGTTCATAGCAACAACAATAATTTTGTAATATTTTTATTTGGCTTTGGCTAAAAATAAATGAATCTAACAAATACAGATTTTGTGTTTTTACTTAAAATTCAAACCTTGGTAGCGACTCCTAAATGTCTTTTAAAAATTAAAAAAATAAATAATGAAAGACTTTCATATGGTATACAGGGTGTTAGGTAAATGGGTATATGAGCCGACACTAGCCCATGTTAACATGGTCATATAAATGGTATGGTGAAGTCAGAAATTTGATATCATCAATTTTTTTTTAATTGTGANGGGCGAGTGCGAGGAGTGCGAGCCGGAGTGCTGGGAGGGCGCGGGCGAGGCGGCGCCGCCGGCCGACGGTGGTAAGTTCAGAGACACGTAGTGCTCGTGCGAGCAGATGATGCGGAGGAACGCGAGCTGCCGGCAAAGTATGTTCATGAGATTCTATCTTGCTGCCCGCTTATCCTTGCATTCCTTTTTCAACCCGTCAAGCCAATAATCCATATTTTTAAAAGAATAAAAGTTGTGGATCAATTTTGAGACTGCAGAACCGTAAGTGTCCACGGTCCATGATACCAGCAAGTAGAATAGGAGACACCAGGCTGTCACTGTGACCTGTGTGTTACTAGCGGGGTGTTTGCAGAGCTGACTGAGCAACGGCATAGAACAGACCGTAACCCACTACGGCGGGCTGGGGGTCCTGTTTTACTAGGGCCGCGAGGAAAAATCCTCTAGAAAAAACTGGAAGAGGGGATAGGGGGTCCCTTCGAAGTTGGAGCGGCTCGCTCAGCCATAGTCTAAGACGGAGCTGAACGGACGAATTTCCACGTTAAGATAATATCTCGCAGCTCCGTTTCATTTGGCTTCGGTGGACACCGTCGTGTTTTACTGGGTAGGCCCCACCCTACGGCCTTCGGCAAGCCCTGACGATTTCCACATAGCCCACTGGTAGTCCTTATCAGTGGGTATGCAAATCATTATAGTGACCGTACTGACCTTATAATGCACCAGTGGTACGGCATCTGGCAGCGAGGCGATCTTGGCGCTCATCTGCTTGTAGTAAGAGCGGATGAGCAGGAACACGTAGCCGCGGTCCATGATGCTGAGCAGGTCGAACAGGAAGAAGGCCAGGCTGTTGTTCAGGCTCTGAGTGAGCCGGCTGTTCTTGCCGTATCTGAAATATAAGATGGTATAGTTGTTGCAATTCACGAAGGCGAGTGAGCTTTACATGTGTGGTGGCTCGCTACTGTTCGTTTTTCAAACGTTTTCACTGACATTACACTATCGTTATGTGCATGTACACTAGGGTGGGCCTTATTTTTCGACTTTTGAATTCTCCCCGGGGCACTTTCTCATTCGATTATATACCTCTAAATATGAAATTAGCTTTTTTTGTTTTTTTTTTTGGTTAAGATTTAGAGGTCGCTACCAGCTGTAAAAATATTTACAAAAAGCTTTGAAGATCTTAAATCATGGTTTCATAAATGTTTTATTTAAGTGTTTATATCACATTTTAGGTGCAAATGAACATCGCATAGATAGAATAGACAATCGCTTCTTGTCCCCTTCTCCCCTCAACCCCTCTTCTGTACCGACCATGGTACCGCGACGCGTCGAGATACTAACAAGTAAACTCTTATATCTTAAAAATAATTGATTCAAATAAAATTTGAAGCTGATGTTTATCTTGCAAGTCTCAACACATGAGCCAAATTTGAAGTGTTAATGCACAGTACTTTTTGAGTGATGAGGAGTCAAAAGTGGCTCCAAGTGGTTCGTCTAAATATACGCACGGTGCAGTCCCCTCCCTGGAACTAGGCTTAACATGCTCCCGCATGTCTAGAATATTAGCTCAATGTTGATTTAGTCGATTTTCTAATGATGGGAACATGTAAGACAAAAATAAAATTTCCAATATTACAGACCTTCTAGAGCAGATGCCGGGAAAACTATACAAGATATAGAAAAACTTGACTATCTCACCTGTAGAAAATTGAATAAGCTTTTTTTGGTTCATAGTAGTCATGTCACTAGGACGCATAGTTTCCGAGGATTAAGCGAAAAACCGAAAAGTGGTACCTTTAAACTCCCCTCTCTCCGGCGGCTCAAGGGCTAAGGGTGAGGACTTTTGCTATGTTCACCTCCTAACTAGTCTAACTAAAGTCCCGAAGTCAAAAATTGTGTTCCACGGATTTCCATCTATAATGCTTTATTGACTGGACTAATCAGAGGCTTAAGGATTAGCAAGCTGAAGTGGCAGTGGGCAGGGCACATAGTACGCAGAACTGACGGCCGATGGGGCAGCAAGGTTCTGGAATGGAGGCCGCGTACCGGAAAACGCAGCGTGTGACGTCCACCCACAAGGTGGACCGACGAGCTGATAAAGGTAGCAGGAAGGCGCTGGATGCAGGCCGCTACCAGCCGTGCGATGTGGAAGTCATTTGGGGAGGCCTACGTTCAGCAGTGGACGTCCTGTGGCTGAAATGATGATGACACTATCAGAATACGAACCCCGAGATGATCTCCGAAGTGACGTTATTGACGAGCGTGGTGAGGTCATCTGTGAATTGTTCCGGGAAGCGAGCCTTGCGTGGCGCTTCGTGCGCGCCGCTCCAGTACAAATATTCCACCATAGATTTGATCATCAGCTCGAAAAATGCCCTGGAGAGATCAAGACACAGTAAATAAACATAGTCATAAGGCTTCTTATACACGAGCGGCTCATAGCCGACGGCGTTTTAGCAGAGTAAATACAATTCGGCGCAACGCCCCGCTAAATTTGTCATTGTGTGCGTGCGCGCCGCATACGTATTGGCGCGCTCTCATATAAACCGCGCTCGGTGCGTTTCTATGAAGATGACCTACTCATTTGTATTTACTCTGCTACAACTGCAGCTAACGCCACCTGTCGGCGGCAGTAGTGGACGTGTTGACGGCTGCCGTCATCGAGTCGACAGCTGCCGCCAAAAGTTGGCGACAGCTGCCGTTGGCACTGCCGTCAGCTATGAGCCCCTCGTGTATAAGAGCACTAAGCCGAATCTCCACTAGAGGCAGCCTTAGGTCAAGCGGCCGCCTCGACCCGCGTTTGCTCAAATGGAGACGCTACCTCAACCTGAGAAACGACTCGTTACGAGGCATATTTCGTCGTCGCGGACCGAGCCACATTTTGTCACGAGGCAGCCGCTCGGTCTGAGGCTGCCTCTAGTGGATACGTGGCTATACACAAATGAGTATTAAACATTACAATAGTACAAGTAATCGAGAGAAGAATTCCACCAGAATTCATCATGTAGTTAGACATACCAAGAGTTCTGCATGGCGAGTTCTCTGGTGGCACCACTCGCCACAACCCACTGAAGAGCCAGCTCCTCGTGCAAGATCTTGCAGGAGCCGTCCGTCATTACTGATAACAACATACACGAGTATATTTTTACGAGTTATCTTTATAGTACAGACTAGAGGACATCAAGCAACACTGTTTTAAGTAGTTGTAATTTTGTAAATAGATGCTCAGCTTCAGATTCATTCATCATCATCATCAACAGTTCTTTACAGTACACTGCTGGACTATGAGCCTCCTCCACTATAGAGGAGGGTTTTCACGCTTGGCAGGCGGGTTGGAGATCACAGTTTAAAAGATTGATGTTTTTCAGAGAGCGCTGCTGCCCGTTCTCTGTTTGATGTGTAGTCCCTAAGTCGCGCCCTTGGTGAAAAATGTATTTTACTCTGCCGTCATCACACGGCTTAAGCTTCAGTTTCACCTTATCTTAAATACTGTTCTACTAATATAACTTACCGGTGGGTGGCAGGGGTAGTCCGATATCCCGGTCCGTGAGAGACGGGCGCGGGATAGTCGCTTGATACTGGATGTACGTCGTGATGAGTCCGCTGCGACCGTGCGCGTCACACGTAGCGCCCTCGTTCATATTCTGTTAAAAAACCATTACGTCATTATACCTGGATTTATTTTATGCAAGTAGGGGTAGCGGTAAACGCCTGATCAAGGTTAGGTTTAGAACGCTGGCACAAGTTGACGAGCGGTTGCGAAAGTGATAGCAGGTCAGTATGCTTTGCATGTAAGCGAGTGTAGGTCAAGTTCTCTATTTGCCTCTAGTAAATTAGAGTGGGTCGTCCTCCTGCATTGAAGACTCAAACGACTTGATATTGATGACTGCATGAGATGTCTTTACGAGTCTTCATTGATTCCAAAGTAAAGGTTGTTCATGCGTTGAACCTTAGTAAAGTTGTAATCAAAAGTAAAAGGTTTTTGAAAATTGAAAAGTACTATAAGATTTTAAACTTTCGCATTCCATTTCAACTAAACGCACGACTAAACGGACGACGCCGCGAGCCGCCAGTCTGCTTGTGACCATTTTAACCGTTACCACCGTTAAGCCGTAAGTACATAATGTATTTCAACTAAACGCACCACCAAACGGACGACGCCGCGAGCCGCCAGTCTGCTTGTGACCATTTTAACCGTTACCACCGTTAAGCCGTAAGTACATAATGTAACTCATTAATAAAAGTCGCGTTAAGACCCGTGTCTTACTATTTTAATTGTAAAGTCCTATTCACACACCGTGACCTCGCTGAACAGCTGCGCGACCCACGTGAACACCTGCTACGCCGCCGCCAGCAGTCGCAGCAGCCGGTCCAGCTACCGGTAGGCACGCTGCTATAGTCTGGTCCGTGAGCACGTAGAATTTTGTCCAATGACCCCAAGCTACCCATCCTTATTGCTCGCGCGTAATTATGTTGCTACCGCGCTCGCACACTCACTGCGGGCGCGCGTCGCACAGTCGCGACAGCAATATAATTACGAGCGAGCTGTTATGAGCCTCAGA